AATTATTTAAAGATGTTTATTTTTTCCTATTAGTTCTGCATGTTTATGTAGGGTATGCATGCATGTAATTTCCTGATTTGTGAAAATTGTTGGTGAACTACATATCAGGAGGCCCAAGGAGGCAATAGATAATGTGCATAATCCAATCAATAAACTCCTGGACATAGTTAATGTTTTTTAGAATTCATAATTCAGCAAACAGCATCTCTTCTGGAAAAAGCTTATCTAGTCCACTGTTAACTGGCTGAAAGATTATTTCTTTCTCTTCTAATATTAAGAGGGAGGTGAATGACCTAACTGGATAGGTAGCTATAGTCAAATAGGTGGTCCAGGAATCTAAGAACTTTTTATCTTTCTTCTCGCTTCTCTACCAGGGACCAGGGCATACATGGTCAAAGATGTCTTATAGAAGTGTATGTGTATTTGTTTCAAAGAAAAAATTAAATAAAGGATTTGGGGGACTAGAAGTGTCTTTTTAAAACTGTGATGTGGAAGTTGAATATATGAATTCTGCTTTCATTCCACTGAATGTAATTTTGTTACACAGGCAAAAAAACAGTGTGAAAGGTTTGGAAATGCACTTTGCAGATGAGTAATGACATAACCCATTAAATCTAAGTAATTTTATGTAAAGGAAGAAAAGAGAGCAAACAAAAAGTTAGTTCTACCAGTGGTCAGACTGTGATAAGCAATGTTTTCAACGACACTAAATTGTTAGAGCAAAAATTGACTTTTGAGCAGGTTGCTGTTTTATTATCAATTATATCCCTAGTTCAACTTGGTTCCTCACACCTCCTAAACAAGGATTATGAATCCTGGCAACTGTACCGCTGAATTGCCCTTGCTTATGGACATTATCCAATGCAGATATAGTCTTCCCCTCTCTAAGCACTCTTTACAATCACACAGAACAAATCCATATTCTATAATAAACCCATTTCAAATCCCCATTATTAAGACATTTATCTTCCTTGTTTGACTACAGTTGTGTCCCTAATGGACAAGCTAAAACAGTACTGTAATAAAAGTATAAAACATACTGTATAGAGAGATGGAAGAGAGAAATCAATGCTCTCAAGGGCAAGGAGATGGTTTGAGGAGTCCTTTTGAAAGGAGTGATGTCAACTGGGCCTTGAAATGTGGACACAATTCACACTGAGAAAAGACAACTATTTTGAAACCAAGTAAACTCAGAAATAAGAATGAGAAAGTCGAAGAGGCTTAGTAGGTGATAGGACAGGAAAGCAAGCTCAAATTGTGAGATTTAATGTGAGGTGCCAAATAGAATAGGCTTTTAAATGTAAAAATAAGAAGGCTGATTCAGTACTTGTAGGCAGTGTCATTGGAATACTGGGACAACTAGTCAAGTTGTTCTTGGGAATGGAAGATGAATTTATTTTAGGGAAAGAGATAAATAGTTGAAGTGTGGAAGACTTATTAGGCAGTAATTATAAAAATGTTGGCTTAAGTTTACAAATTATAGCAGCAGAAGTAGAGTGAATAGAAATTATTACATATGAGATTAATAGAAAACGTGGGAAAAATTATCTGCAAATAATGCTCAACAAAAACAACAATAAAAATTGAACATTTGGAGCCAGCATGACATGGAGAAGTAAAAGTATTAATTGAGATAAAGCTAGATCAAGACATATCTTGATAATCATAATAAACAGTATTTTCAATCTGCTGAGGATGAGTCATCTGGAAATTTGGTTCTAAAGTTATGAGAACTTATGTTATGGTCATATGGGGAGATGGAGACATGAGGAATCATCTGTTCCATTTATCAGTGAATGGTAAAACTAAGGTATCTACTAGCACTTGCAAATGACCCCTTTTCCTGGAAATTTCACCAACCTCTAATTACTTACTTTATTTTCTTTTTCTAATTCTCTTTACTTTTGATGTTTTTTTTTTTAATGTGTGCTCAGGCAGGAACTCTTGCTTTCCTTTTATATGTGTGACTATATCTACTTCTGACTTCTAGAAGTAGAAACTCCTAAAAGTTCAGCAACTGCTAGTTTCCTTCCAACTCTCCTCCACTCTCCATGTGACCATTTTCTTTCTAGTACTCCCCCCAACCTTAAAGAGATGGAAGTATTTCTGATGATTTATTAATTAGAAGTATCTCTGTACATCACTGTGAAAAGCAATTTTATCTCCTTATGTTGCTCTTTAGTGGGCAGGGACTTGAGAAACCAGCATATAATTTTTGAATCATACAACTTTTAACATCAAGTTTGTATTTAATATACATGATTTAACCACCATATGTTTGAAATTCTGAAATGCAAAGTAAAATGTCTAAGTACATCAGACTCTATAAAGAGATTAGTTTAGCACTGATCTGTTTTGATTACATTTGGTGTCAATCACCAGTTACCATTCAATTTTGTTCTTGGTGTTTAGAACTTTTTCTTCCTGTCGCTTAACCAACTCAATTTGAGGGTTATTGTGCTTGATGCAGTCTTAAATTTTTGTACAATTTGGATATTAGTAATTGAATTTTTTAATATTCACATTTGCTTTTAAATAAAAGCAATAAATTTTTAGGGAAAAATGCCTTCTTTTGTTATTGTATATGATTTCCTTTTGTTTATAGCTGAATACTTTTGCATTGTGGTTTTGTCTGAATTTAACTTCTAAGTGTTTCTTTTTTTTTTGAGAGAGAGAGAAAGAGAGAGAGAGAGAGAGAGAGAGAGAGAGAGAGAGAGAATTTTAATATTTATTTTTTAATTTTTGATGGACACAACATCTTGGTTTTTGTATGTGGTGCTGAGGATCGAACCCGGGCTGCATGCATGCCAGGCGAGTGCGCTACCTCTTGAGCCACATCCCCAGCCCAGCTTCTAAGTATTTCATGCATGCATTATTCCTGTATAGGCTGAAATTCACTGATAGAAATAAACTGGGGAGAAGTATGGATCAAAGAGAACAAAAGAAACTGCTCAAGCACAAGGCCAGCCTATATCACCACAAAGGAAGATTAAGATCTGAAATGGAATACATGAAAAATTAAAGTCACATAAAATCCTTAATTGAAAAGATAAAACACAATTAGTGAAAATATTTTGATATATGAAATAAAATACAAGGAGTCAGGCGTAGTGGTGCATACATGTAATCCCAGTGGTTTAGGAGGCTGAGGCAGGAGGATCATAAATTCAAAGCCAGCCTCAGCATCTTAGCCAGGCCCTAAGCAACTTATTGAGACCCTGTCTCTATATAAAAATACAGGCAAAAAAAAAAAAAAAAAACGGTTAGGGATATATCTCAGTGGTTAAGTGTCCCTGAGTTCAATCCCCAGTACCATTAATTAATTAATTAATTACAAGGGAGGACTAATTCAAAATTGAAAGTTTAAATTGAATAACATGGAAAGCTGGAAAGAATGCTTACTCCTATTCTTAAGAAAAGAATAAATATGGATGAACTGCTAATCAACTATTTTTAAAAAATCTAATCAGAGAACTGAAATTTCAGGGAAAAAAATAACCTGAAATTTAAAATTTTCTATATTGTTAAATGAGGCAGGAGTTCATACATTTTTATTACTGAGTTATTTCCTGTTGTAAAGAAATGCCAGGGGCTGATGGACACCTCAAGTGTTTCCTCTGGGGAAATTATGAAATGAAATCTTATAAAAATGATATGCAAAAATTACAATCTGCTCATCTATCTCTACTTGCTGAGAATCTGATTTTTATTATATTGAATATATAGATCTGATTGTGAAGAAGTAATAGATTAATAATATTAAATTTTCCAATTTATGAAATTGATCATCTCTTCATTTATTTTTATCTTCCTTGACTTTTTTTCATCAAAATTTGAAGTTTTCATAACAGATATTCTGCATATATCTTGTAAGATTTATATCCAAGTATTTATTCTATGTGTGTGTGTGTGTGTGTGTGTGTGTAAATATATATATATATATATTTCATTGTTATCATGTAGGAACTTGGTCGGCTTTTGTATATTGGCATTATAGCTTATGACCATCTTACATTCACATGTTGTTTCCAGGAGATTATGGTGGATGTAATAAAATTTTCCACATATATAATGTTGTGGTCTATAAGTATGGAATGAATTACTTTGAACCCAGTGCTGTGCCCATTGAGGCCATTCTAGGTAGTTCTATTATTTTTCCATGTACCTGGAAGTTTATACCTCCCCTGATTCTTATAGAAATTCATCCAGCAGTTCTTTTATTCTCTTTATACTTGAATTAAGGGTGCCCTAAAAGTGAGTTGTGCTACTCTGTGTGACCACCTTATTTTAATACATGGTCTTGTGAAAAGATAGTGACAGATATTGTATAGAAACCAAATGCTATTTCATAATACAATTGTACTTTCTTTGTGATAGTAACACTGCAATAATAATTCATATAATTCATATAAGTTCAATAATAATTCATATAATTCATATAAGTTCAATAATAATTCATATAAGTTCATATAATTCTCTCAGTGACCCTGTCGGCAAGTATTGTACTTAACAATTTATAAATAAAGAGATGTAGGCTTAAATAAGTAAACAAATTTGCCCATGGTTTCTCAGGTATTCAAACTACAGCTGTTCTCAAACAGCATCTTGTTTAAATTAGCAGTATAATTGGCTCTATAAATTTTGCTGTATGAATGATGAAGTGTTTACAATGTGATTTTGCATAAATTAGTGATATTTATGTAAAATAAGCAGATTTATAAAATGTTGATTTTGTATCAGAACTGTTTACTCATGTTTTTATTTTTATATATTTTTTTTTCTTATGGATTTGGTCAGTTCTTCAAATTTAAGGTTAACTACAAGACGTGGTTAATGTTAATCAACATTTTTTAATGAAATATCTTTTAATTTGCAATTGTTCCAATGTTTTATAAATCCAATCCAATATTTAAAACATATTTATGCTTTTCAGTGATAATTTAAATTTAACACAATGAGATATTATTTAAATAACTAAATATTGAAAAATACAATTTTGAAAACGAAAATAATTGAAATAACTACTCTTATGTTCTTAGATAGTTCCTAACTTCTACAAGTCAAAGACTGTCAGAGAACATAGTTATTAATTAACTCAGATTCACAGGAATATTTATATAAACTTCTTTCAGGGTTAAGGCTTTTTACAATTACATGTTTAACAGAAGTATATTAAATATTGATAGGCTAGTGAGTGTGTAATAAAAATTTATGAGTAGGTCGATATATACCTGAGTAATTTCCCATGGTCATTACTTTAACAGCCTTACCCAGCTCTGGAACAACATAGCAAATAGAAAAGACTATGAAAGGTAAGTCTATGGATCATGTTACTTTGTTACTTACATGTTTTTAAGTAAATATAGCTCTTCTTAATTTACATTAGTAATACCCCTATCTATTTGCACTTATTCAAAATAGAAAAATAATGTATTTTGTCATTTTAAATATATTGTCCCTAATATTAAAAGTAGAGGAAAAATATTATGTATATTATATATAAAATTTATATAATATTATATATAAATATATATATATATATATATCTTTTAAAATATATGAGACTGTTTTCTAGGTCTACCACTTCAGTATAATTTGTGTCAGAGATATTTGGAATCATGACTTATTTTAATTGCTCTATATAGGAAAACAGCAAGAATGGTAAATATTTTGGAAAAATAGAAGGATCAAAGTATGATGAAATACACTTTATTTATGCTAGATTTCTAAAAACACTTAATGTTTTCTAGAGGACCTTTTAAAAAACAGTCATCAAGTTACCATCAAACAAAATATTATTAATTTTTAATAAAAGTATCAATATGCAATTCCCCCAAAGTTTTATGTTTAAAATTACTATGATAGATAATATAATCACTGCAATTATCACTTATAGCATATGAATCATTTTAGCAGGTATTTCTTCTTATTATTAATATGTGTAATTTTATTTTGGTATTTTTTTTGTTGTGATTTTTTTTTAGGTAAAGGAAGGTTTCTGTCATGATAATGTGTGTTTTTAAAATTTCCCTTTGCAAAATGAAAAGCACAGTCCTTGTTATTGTCTCCTTAAGTGAAATTTACCCTTACTTAAAGTTAAACATTAAATGTGACCATGTTATTTCTCATGTAACATTGAGCAACTGGGTTTCATTTTATAAAGATCACCTATTGCTTTGATTAAATTTGGCATAGATACTAAACTTACACTTTTTAATTTCTTTGACTACTATCATTGTAATGAACACTTTACATATCCAAAACTGAAAAATATATATTCAAATTTAATGTAATCTTCAAACATCCATTCATATGGCATAGTAAAAAAACTAAGCTTGAGTTTATTCAGTATCAGCCTCTGGACTAACTTTATCATTCTTGCTATTAAGAACGTTACTGTAAAAGAGAGGAAACTTACATGGACATAAAAAAATTGAAATAGACACTGTGTGTAACTGTAAAATAAAGAAAAGTTAGATTAATTTTGCCTCTAAGAATATGAATCCACTCACAGAGACCCTGACATATGAACTGGGCATTAGTTTCAACTTCCCTATCAGGGTATATGGGAAGGGACTGAATATAAGAAGACCTGTTATCCAAAAGGTATGCTGAGGGTTAGGGGCAGGTGGAGGTTATAATATTGAAAATATTTTGTAGGTAAAGTCAATAGAACTTGTTGAATTATTGAATGTTATGGAAAAATATCAGGGAGGAAAAAGAGGTTTTTATGTTTTGGCAACTGGGTAGTCACAAAAGGAATCATTTTTAGGCAAAAATAATAAAAGATTTTAAAGATATTTTACCAACTAAAGAAAACCATAGAAATCATAAATTCTACCTGGGTATTTGCTGGAATACAGAAAATCCTGGATAGTTGAAAACTAGGAAAAATGAGAGATATATTGTCATGATTAATTTAAATATGATTTAAAATAATTATTGGAGAAAGGTTCTTTACAATCAACCTTTAGGTATCCTCCATATGTGTCTCAAATACATAAAGCTATCTAAAATAAATATATGATAGCTTGGTGTATTTCATGGAAAAACTACAATTGTATAGTTCAGAATGTTTTAAAATATAGTAACATTTCCAAATATATAGCATCCTTCCCAATATACATACTTAGGTGTTTCCACAAAATTTTTATATGATGGCACTGTTGGATTGGAAAGACATGAATTAAAGTAGGTAGAACTGTTCCATTTTACTTTGAAATATAACAAATCTCAGTTTTAAGTTTATGATCAGGAAAGTGTGAATAAGAACATCTTCTTCACAGAATTAAAAGCAGTTAAAATTAGGAGACATGGTGAAAGTTAAAGCTTTCTTTGACTTGAATAATGCCTTAAAACAAGTTGACAAAGAACAGCAGTTTGGAATTATTTATTTCCTTGTTTACATCTTATATGTAGTGTGCACAATTAGTTCATTCATTTGCTAAAAATTGTATGTGTTGCTTACATTTTTGTCAACTGATAAACTGATAAAGCTATTTTCACCTCTGCTTGTCTCTTGCTTAGTAAAAATTAGTATATGTAATTTCATAATAATTGATAAGGTTCGTTGTGGTTATATATTTTGTATTTTAATCTTAAATTCCTTTCCTTGTTTCAGATGGCAAGGAAGAAATTTAGTGGATTAGAAATCTCTCTCATTGTCCTCTTTGCGATAGTTACTATAATAGCTATTGCCCTAGTTGTTGTTTTAGCAACTAAAACACCTGCGGTTGATGGTAAGTAATACAAATTCTTATACATAATAGTGAAGTAAAGAGAAAGTTATTTCACCATAGCTGCTGATTCAAAAAAAAATAATCTATGAGAGATGAAACATGAGAAGGATGTTTGGTAGCAAGTTACACAATCCCTTCAACTTTCTATCATTTTGTTCTGGTTATTTCAATGAAAACCCTCTGTAATTAAGAATGCATCTGCTTTGACATTAGTGGACTTCCCCATTACTTGAGAAAGAGCAAAGAGACAGAGGGATGAAGGTGGCAATGTAAAATAGAATAATTGTTACTATTGTTACTACTGAGATTATGCTCCCTAATGGCAAAATTTAGATTTTTGTTGTAGCCTTCAGAAATTGGCAAAGCACGTGAAGAACATGGAGAATGTATTCTCTGACTGACTCAAGTTTTAAAGGAGAAAGAAGTTTTATGGCAAAATAAAGTAGAGGGCAGGTGAATCAAGTTTTTAGGTATTTAGTAAAATTTTCTGAATAGTTTTGTTCTAATTTAGAGTTGCTGCATACTACTGTGGGCTACCAAATATACTTTCTTTTTCTTTATCATTCTCTAGACTAAATCAAAATTGGAAAGAATGTTACACATTATATTCTAGTCTAACAGTAGTTAGGAATTCCTACTGCTCTTAATAGTTGACCCTTTTTTAGCAGTAGATCATTGTAATGCGAATCATTTTTTTACCTTACACAAATATGAATTCCTATAATATTCTTTCTTATCTATTTGTTTTTGCTATTCCTAACCTTCTGTTCTCTACCTGTACATTTTTTCCCTTCAAAGTATCTTCTTTCTCCAATTTTTCTGTTTTCCAATCTTTTGTGAACTTCTCTGCACTCTTCTCAGATTTGATGTTTCTCTATCTTCTTTCTTCATCTGTAAAACACAAATTGTAAGTTCATTGTAAATGTACTGTTTTTAATCTCTGAATATATTTTGTTTTCCTGAAGAATGAGACAGCAAGATTCTACACTGATATGAAATATTATTCTCTAATTGTTAGTTCTTACAAAAGTTTAAAAGATTCTCGTTTATCTTTTTATTTTTCAGTGAAAATTTAAGTTTCACTGATTCAGATGAAACAGTTACTAAACAATATCCAAATAAATAATGAAATAGTTTGAAAAAGAGAGGATACAATTGAAATAGCTACTTAGTTAAGATAGTTCCTGGCATCTAGAAATTACAGACTGTAGTATTAAAGTATTACTTGGTTCTTGTCTTTATTATTGCTCAGGCTTGAGTTTTGGGGTCTTTTTAAATGCAAAATTTATTTTAAAGTTTTTGTTTTGTATAGATTCCTGTGTTCTTTTAACATAAAGTATGTATTACTTGAAAAAATCTGTGGAAATAATTTGATGTCATGTCTTATTTTACTGAATATTCTCTTTACCAGAATTGAGTCATCCTACTTCAACTCCAGCTGGTGTAGGAAAATGTCCTGCTGCATTAAATGATCCCATCAATGAGAGAATAAACTGCATTCCAGACCAATTTCCAACACAGGTCTGTAAAAACAATTCTTAATGTTTCTATGGATCATTATATTAAGATAATTGCTCAATACTGGATAATTACATATACTTAAGAACCTAAACATAAATTAGGCCATTTTTTGTTGCTCCATATAAATAAATGAAAGATAATTGAAATAAATGAGCTTGCTTTTCCAGACCTCTGTTCAATTCAAATTAACAAACTAAATTTCCTTCATGTTTAACTAGTTATTATTAATTTTACAATCCTTTATAATATTTTAATCTCTTATATTGATTTCTTTAAAAAGTATATAACTTGAAAATATGGAATGTTTGCATGAGAATGTCTATATTCTATTAGAGTATTTGTAATGATGGCATTAGAAAGAATCTACAGAAAATAAAAGAAATCTTATTTTTTTCAAAAAGTAACATTTTTTGATTATTTGGCATTTAGGAGAGAAAAAACACAAAAAGAAAATTAAAGATAGCTGATTGGATATGTGTAACCCTAAGCTGACACTTTTTTTTCCCTTTGTTTCATTTTGAGACAGTACCTCGATAAGTTGCTTAGGTTTTAGTAAAGTTGCTTAGGGTCTCACTAATTTGTTGAGGCTGGCTTTGAGCTTGCAATCTTCCTGCATCAGCCTCTCAAGCTGCTGGGATCATAGACATGTACCACCGTGCACAGCGACTCTTCCTTTTTTATTAAAAAAACTGTGTAGGAAATAGATTAATGAATATGCACTTGTATATCTGTCTCCACAGTTAGCAACTTATCCAATATGCATGTCTATACCTTACCTCTCTCACTCTCCCACCACAAAAAAAGATAATTAAACTAACTATAAAATTTCTATTTCTGTTAGCCTCATCCTACCTTTTATGCTGTCATAATTTATACATAATTTTCTGATTAATTTGCAACAAAAATTGCAAATGCATGATAATTTCTTCAGTGACACAGAGATAGAAATAGCAGAAATAGGAGAAATAGGAGAAAGAGTAGTTCCTGTATCTTACTCTCTGATCAAAAAGCTAATTAATAGTTTTTACGGTGACCTATGGAGGAAAGTAACTAGGTATTCTATCTTGTTAACATGTTACTTGAGAAACAACTGAAGCTTAATGAAGAATACTATTAGAAACAATAGTGTACCTCAAATAGAGAAAAAATATTTAAGCCAATGATTTAGGATGTCAATGCCTACCACTGGTCTTTAATGTCAATCTAACCTGTTAGGTTTCAATGTGAGACAAATTAAACTTGTTAATTACATTCATTACATTTTTACAAGTATACTTGCATTTGCTGTTTAAGAAAATGAAGTAAGTTTATTTGTTTGTTTGTTTTTATTTAGAGCATTATAGTTATGCATAGCAGTTGGGTGTATTTTGACTAAAACATACTTGTAAGGAATTTGGTTTCCCGCACCATTTCCCCCACTGTCCCTCCCCACCTTCTTCACTTTAATCTTCCTCCTCTACCATCTTCCTTTCACTCATTTATCTATTACTTGTTGGTTTGTACTTTCTGCTTATACATAAAGATGAATTTTCCTGTGGTATGTTCATGTAGGCATATAATGGGATTTTGTTAAATTCATTCCATATTTCCTTCCCTTTCCCATCTATCTTTCCTCCCTCTAGATCTCCTTTTTCTTCTCCACTGATCTTCCATAAATCGTTATGTATCTGATCTCTCCAGTATTTCCCTTATTTCACTCCAGCTTTTGCTTATGCTGTAAAATACTTAATCCTCAATTTCTGCATCTGATTTATTTCAGTTAGCATAGTTTTCTTCATTTCCATCCATTTCCAACAGGTCCCATCATTTTATTCATCTTTATGGCTGAGTAAAACTCCATTGTGCACATATACCACATTTTCTCCATCTGTTCTTCTATTGACAGGCCTTCGGGCTGATTTCATAATCTGGCTATTGTGAATGGTGCTGTAATAAATGTGATTTACAATAGCCAAAGTGAACTTATTTTGAAAGCTTAACTTAGTTTATCTCAACTGATTCCACTGAATTATGCTCCAAGCCCTCAAATGAATTTCAATGTTTTCTTGACATCTTTAATAAAAGTTAAATGTAGCAAAATAATTTTGATGAGATTCTGATGTGAAACAAAATCTCATTCATTGAATTTTAGATTTATATGAGAACTTAAGAATGTTTTACAATTTTAAATGAATATGACCAGGTCATTCTGTTAGTGATGGACAAAGCTGGAATTAGAACTGTAGTGTTCAATGTTACCTTATGATCTGTGAACTCAGTAGTCATTCTTCACTAGCCAGGATGTTACAATTTTCTCTCATTGAATGATTTTACAAGGTAATACTTTTCTACTATAGAAAATTATGATCCAAAGTACCTGTATGAAGACAAGAATTGGTGTCAACATAATTTATATACAACCGTAGATATGAAAAATTGTGCTGTATTTGTGTAATAAGAATTGTAATGCATTCTGCTGTCATTTATTTTTTAAAAAATCAATAAGAAAGAATGAAAGAAAATTGATTAAAAATAAATGACGAGTGAATAAAAATGTAAAAAGGGCCTAAATATTGTTTCCTCTTTTTCTTTTTTAGGAGAATTAAATTTCAAATGGGATTTTAATTCAAACTCCATCACTTAATTTTTTTAAAAAATTGTTATTAATCATTTTATGATTTTGATAATATTTTCTCATTAACACACTGTAAGATTCTTTAAAATACATTCAAATGTTACCTTTCCTCATCTCAAATAATCACTTAAAGCAATGATTTATACTTGAAATTTTAAATATGAGAGGCATACTATTTGAATAAATATATTTGGTCCAATTTAGGTGGATACGATTTAATTTAATCAAAATGATAAACATCTATAAATTTCCTTAAGTTTTCTTAATTGAAAAATTCTCTTTGGGATTCTATATCTATGAAAATGGATCATGTTTACAAAATAATTAAAAATAAAGAATTGGTTATAGTAAACATTTGTATATGATTTTATTATAAAAGATATGCATATTTATTTTATCATAATGAAAAATTAAGAGTCAACATGATAATTTTAAAAACAGCCATAATTTCACCCAGAGTGTATTAGTCAGCTCAGGCTGCCATAACAAAATAGAAGAGACTGGATAGCTTTAACTCTGAAATATATGCTTTTAAGTTAATACAGAATACACATCCACATACATATACATATATATAATACTTTGGTATGTATATGTAGTGAGTTAAATGATATTCTCCAAAATTTTAAGTCCATGTAAAGCCCCAGATGTGATCTTATTTGGAAATAAGGGTTTTGCAGATGTAATTAGTTAAGATGAAGTCACATGGGATTAAGATTCACCCTAAATCTAGGGACTGGGGTCCTTATAAGAGGAAGAGACTATACACAGAGACAAAGAAGAAATATCTTCTGTGAAGATGGAAGCAGAGATTGGAGCTATGAAAATACAAGCCAAGGAATGCCAAGGTTTGACAGCTACTGGAAGTTTAGGAATAGACAAGGGAGAATTTTCCCCTAGAATCTTCAAAAGTAGCATGGCTTTCCTGACACCTTGAGTTAGAGCTTTTAAACTCCAAAATTGTGAGAGAATAAATTCCTGTTGCTTTAAGCCATCTTTTACCATGCTGTTATGGCAACCCTAAGACACTAATACAGTATATCTAGAAAAAGATTAATGTAAGTCTATGTACTAAAATCTTAAATTTTTGTTAGAATGTGATTATAATATTGCATTTTTTGTCTTTAAACAATACATTTGCACTTTTTTCAAATCATTTACCTATGTCTAGAACTACCTTTTGGTTTTGTAATATTGGTTTTAAAATATATCTTAGACTTCTGTAAAGAATAGTTCTTGTAAAGTTAGCACCTTTCTATTTTTGGAAGTATTTCTATAGTTTAGATAACTAGAGGCAAAATTACCAGATTAAAGTAATATATACCTTAGTTTCTGATAGGTATTGATTGTTGGATTCATCAGATTCAATTGTATTCTTATTTGCATATGTTTGTGTGTGTGTGTGTGTGTGTGTGTGTGTGTGTATGCACATTTGCAAGCAGTGTTTTGTGGGTGTATGTTTCTGAAGCCACTTTAATTTGCTAGGAAAGTAGGTGAGAGGTCTATGTGTATCTTCAGCTGACTAAACATGGAGACGTTGATTAAAAAAATCCAAAAAAAAGTATTGAAATTATAAAGATCTGTCACACTATTAAATTTTGATAGTAAGTAGATTGGTAATTACATCATTTTTGATACATAAGAGCATTAGTTTGCTTGATTATTTATATTAGCATTTATATTTTTTCCGCTTCATATAAGCTTTCCATATAAATAATAAATTTTCTAAGAATTCAGTATTTTGTTGCATTCATTGAATGCAGCTGTAATAACTAAATGTGACACCTAGCATATAAACTAGTTAAAATAGTTTAAATAGTTATATTTTGAAACATTAAATAGTTAAAAATAACTATCTTAAGTCTTGAATTTAGAATTTGATCTTCATCTTAATTATGTATCACCCACAAATTGATACAAAATTAGTACAAAATAAACATTTCAATTCTTGTTCATCAAGATCATGACAACAGAGTTCCTTATAATTACCCAGAGAGTGTGAACCTTAAAAATAGATGCGTTAACAATAACATGCAGGAACACATGAATTTTATAAATCAAACTCAGAGCATCAATATTTAATATGGTATAATTAATTCAAGTCATCAAATATTTACATCTCTTCCAAGTAAAAATAGTAATATAAAAAAACAAATGATACATGGGTATGTTTTATATTTGAAGAAATAATCTTGTTTTTTAAATGTTCATTTAGTGGCAAAAGACTAGGTTATCTGACAGTACCTCTAATCATAGTATTTATTTTTATAAATTTTATCAGGCAATCTGTGCACAACGAGGCTGCTGCTGGAGGCCACGGAATGACTCTATTGTTCCTTGGTGCTTCTTCGCGGATAACCATGGCTATAATGCGGAAGAATCAACCACAAGTAGTACTGGTAAGAAGTGCTATGTCATGATGACTGAATATAGTGCATTCCCAGGGAAAAAAAAACGTACTTTCAAGTTTTTCTTTGGAAAATATTGTAAATAACATGAAATAAGTACATACTGAAATGTTCAAGTTGATTATACTATGTATTTTTTTCCATGATTTTATCTTCCAAATTAAAAAAAACCCTCATGTTTGTGATGAATATAATTATGTCAATATTTAATATTTGTTAATACAATTAGAAATATTCAAATATTTAATAGCTGTTTATCTTTACCACTAAATTCATTCATCCTTGTTTGTTTTCTTTGTTTAAGGACTTGAAACCAAATTAAACAGGATAGCTTCTCCTACACTATTTGGAAAGGACATTAATAACGTCCTCCTTACAACCCAAAGTCAGACACCCAATCGTTTCCGGTTCAAGGTTCGTTTTTTTCTATTTCTAAAGAAAATTTGATAATTAAAAACGTTCTATGAACACACTCTTTACCTTATCCATACATTTTCCTTCATAAGAAATATTTATTGCAAGGCAAATAATTAATTAAACTAGTTATTCCAAATCTCTGAGCCTGTTTGTTAAAATATAACTTAAGAATAATAGCTTCTCCTGCCCTTACTTTGAAGAATTTAAATAACATAATCCAGGTAAAATATTTAACCTGTTGTCTTCAGGAGAATATGTACTCCATAGATAATAATATTTTTTAATTTCAAATTCTGTGACAAAATATTAGTTTAAAACATAATTTGAAGAAAAATGTTAATAGTGTTGTGAATGCAACTTTTATTTATTATTTTTAGAGCTAGGTTTTTACTACTTCCTATTATGCTTGGTTTTACTACTTCCTATTGCATTTTGCTTAATTGATCTTTTTTTTTTTTTAAAGTTTGGAAATTGAAACAGCACCATGTACTTTGAATACTTGTTTACTTGTGTTTTTGGAAAAATTTCACAAGAATTGAGTTATTTTGAAATTTTATTATTCATCTTTTTGGTGAATATAGGTATTGAACCCATAGCATCATGCATAGTAGGTAATTGTTCTACCATACATATAACTTCAGCCCTAAGATTTAAGTACATTTAAAAATTCTAAGACACTATCTAAGGAGGTAAACATTAAAGAACACTAAGAATAATTTAATTCACAGGGCTAAAGTTATTTTCTAGTTGGTGCCTGCATTTGTAATGCAAAAATTGAATACTGTCTTAAAACTAAGTAAAGCTAATTTCTTTAAATCTTTGCAGATTACAGATCCAAATAGTAAAAGATATGAAGTTCCTCATCAGTTTGTAAAAGAATTTACTGGACCCACATCTTCTGAAACACTGTATGATGTACAAGTTCAAAAAAATCCTTTCAGCATCAAAGTTATTAGGAAAAGCAATAGCAAAATTTTGTAAGTACTGATTTTAATTTACATTTATTATGAATTTTAAAACTGGAATGTCAATGTCAAGGTAATATCACAAAGAATAAATTTTCTCCCCAAAGAAAGTGAGATAGAACTTTTTAAAGATTATGATTTCAAGGAAGTGCATGCAACATACTAAATATAAATGAGAAAATGCCAATTCCAGCCAAGCAAAGATAAAGGTGGAGAGAATCACCCACCTAATTACTGCCTTGCCTATATTTTTGCATATGTAAAATTTTTCCGTGTTCTGTCCTAATTAATCTGTTAATAACCTGCAGGATCACATGGTTTCTATTTACCGACTAGTAATTAATATTAAATTTTCTTGTACATGTTAAATATCACTTGAACACCTTCATTTTGAATGAGTTGACTGGGGATGGGGGTTAATTGGTGGAAGGAACTTAGTAATTTCCTGTAAATTTTTTCAAGATAAATATTCTTTCATTCCTAAGAAATGTTAATTGTAAAGTGCAATCTCAGAAATGATTTTCAATGAATATATTTCAAAATTTTTGCAATTAAAATTGTTCTATATTATAAAAATATTAAATCCTAAGAGAAATAAGCCAGGCATGGAAGTAAAAATGCTGTACAATTTCACTTTAAAGAAGCAAAGAGTGAAATGGTGGTTACAAGGGTCTGAGAAGAGGTGCAGAATAAAAAGATTGTGGAAAAGTGTTAGATAGTAAAAACAGTTTTCAAAGTCTATTGCACAGCATTGTGAATTTAGTAGACAATAAATTAATGTATCCTTCAGAACTAATAGAGGCCAGATGCTCACACAACACAAAATAGTAAAATGTATGATGATGGCTATGTTAAATAGCTTGATTTACATTCAATAATGCACTTAAAATTTTCACATTGTATTAAATAAATGCATAAAATTATAATTTACCAACAAAAATGAAAAGTCTCAAATGCAAGTTAGTATTCCCTCCTCCTCCTCCTCCTCCTCCTC